TAATTTATATTTGGTTTATTAATATATTTTTTTATAAAGATGACAATTAATTATTTTGTTAGAACTCGATAATTATCCTAATTATATTTTAAATTTTTTAAATTTTAAAATAAGTTGTTTATCCTCTATTTGATTATGTTTATCCGCAATTAATTATACAAATTCAACTATTAAGTTTTAATAAGTTGTACTTTTGCATAATTATTTGTAATCTTGAATTTTAAGTAAACATTGGTTTTATGTGGTTTTAAATAAAGTGATAATGTTTTTATTTTTGAATAAAATATAAATTTAAAAATATCATAAAATTTTCAAAAAAAAAAACATCGATATCAGTATTAAATTAATTAAGTTCTTGTGTTTTGGTGTAATTTCCTTAATCAATTTTTTTAATTATAATTTAATTTAGGTTTAGTAACAAAGAAATTTAATTTAGGTTTAATAATATATTTTTTTATAAAGATAATAACTAAGTATTCTATTAGTTATCAATAATTATTTTAAATATATATTAGATCTTTTATATTTAAAATGAAATGTTTATCTAATATTTGATTATGTTTATCAACAGTTAGTTAGACGAATTCAAGTATAGAGCTTTAATAAGTTGTACTTATGCACAATTTACTTGTAATCTTAAATTTTTAAGTAATATGCATCAATAAACAGTACTTCATGCATAAAAAATTGTTTTTAAGAATGTTTATCAAATGTTTTATAATACAGTATAGATTCATAATAATCTGTATTTCAATTTTTAATTAAAAATTAACAAAATTATATAATAATTAAATAACAATTATATGTTTATTAAATTTATAGTACTAAAATATCGTAATATATAAACTAATAAGTTTTTCTCTCCTTTTTCTTTTGGTGGACGTTGCAATCAATCGTAGATCTACAAAGATGAATAGCAAACATCTACATTACAACAACCCTTTAAGGAAAATAAAAACAGAGAAGGAAGCGTGTTCAGGGCGAAATCGAACAGCAAGGGCGGCAAACCACGGCGAGCCAGGGGGTGGTGATGGAGGGATCGGTCATGATTTTTTGTTCATTCAGAAGAGAAGGCTTCATAAATGTGACTCTCTCTGTCGTATATGATTCGAGGTTATCTACAAAACAATTGGATTAATGAGGCGCAGCAACTGTTTGATGAAATGCCCCATCGGACATGGAACTCAATGAACGAAACCTTAGAAGACGCTCTCGAACTTTTGAAGAAGATGCCAAAGCGTGATGTAGTATCGTAGAACACGATCCTTCAGATATGCGCAGCAACAAAAATATTGCTTAAAGCTTGGATCTTTTTCAAGATGATTCCTGATAAAGATTGAACCACTTGGACTATAATGATTTGCACGCATCAGAACAAAAAATGCTTCCCAAATTCTTCAAAACAGAATCAAACCCGATCAGGCAATGTTTACTGGTTTGATTTCTGTTTGTGGATAACCTGGGTACACGGTTGGGGGGAAGCAATGCACTTATGCAATCATGATTGATGTTCTTGGTAGAAAAGGGATGTTAGCCGAAGCATGTGAATTGGTTAAACATTTGCCACTTGAGTTTCCAGCATATACGTGGGGAACGATGCTGAGTTGTCATGGGGTCCACGAAAATTTTGAACTCGGGGAAATGGGAGCACGAAAGCTTTCTGGTACGCAGCCTATATATGCTGCGATGGTTGTGCTTTTTTCAAATATATATGTTGAAAGAGGTATGTGGGAAGATGCGGCTAACGTTAGAACTCTGCTAGAATGTCATGGAGTGAAGAAAGATTTGGTGTGTAGTTGGATTTAGTTGAAGGGTCAGGCATTTCGGTTTGCTTACTAGGAGAGATTGCATATCTAATAATTACACAAGAGACAGATCAAAACATGGAATCTGCTGCAACAATGTGTAGTAAGTTTTAATCTTCTGCAACAATGTGTTGTAAGTTTTAATCTTCTGCTTTTGCTGCCTTACACACTACTCTAGGATCTGTTGAACACAAAGAGGCTGCAATTTGTGACAATAGAAACAAGGTTGTTATTATTGTGTTCAGAGTTAAGACAATACTCAGGGAGGCTGCTGTTACAACAAGATTTCAAGTTTCAACACACCAAACATAAAAGTTTCATCTTTCACTCAATTCCATCTTTTAGGTATATAATTAACATCCACAACAGAATCCCAAATATTCATTAGAACGAAGGCTAACCTATTTAAATCTTTAAAATATTTCCATCCACAACAGAATCTCAAATATTCTCAATTGAAACAAAATACAATTTTAAACTTTACTATTTTTTGATACTACAAGACCATAAAATGATTCAAATATTCATTAAGCAATCCACCAAAAAACACCACCTTCTTGAATGACTCTGTAAGAGACTGAGATGACGTACCATGATCAACAAGTGATGTTGGGTAATTTTGAAGTCACATCTTTTGCATTTGCAACAAATGAAACTACTCCTGAATTTCCTCCCAATAAGGTTAGATCAACAAGTGATGTTGGGTAATTTTGAATCCCCCATTTTGACATGGGCTTATTTAAGCATCCTATTGTTAGGCTTATCAAATTAGGAGGCCACAACCCACAAGGAAATGAGTAATCCATACTTGGACAATCAGATATCTCCATCCTGTCCAAAGATGTGAGACTTTCCAAATGCTCAGGAGGAAATGACTTCAGATTCTTACAACTACTAATCCGAAGATATTCCAGGGGAATAATACCAAAACTTTTATCTGAAATGGATTCTAAGTTATCACAATGATAAACTGAAAGAGCCTCTAGAGAGGATGGGAGCTCGTGCAATGATACCAACTTTTTACAATAACTTATTTCCAACTTCCTTAAACTCACAAGAAACTTGCACACCTCCGACTCTGACTCACACAAATATCTCAATTCATCACATCCCGTGATGCTTAGATCTTCAACTGCCCCAAGAAGCTCTAAAACTTCTCCATTTAGTTGAGCAAGTCCTTCAATATTTTGTATTCTCAACACACGAATTGATGAAGACACACCAACCATGCTTTTAAATACATCTTTAGAAACATTACCAAGACGAGGAAATGATCTAGCAATTCCATCATTGTCCCCACGTCTAGTTGACCATCTCTCCCAACCTTTCATATGACTAAAGCTCAAAATTTCAAGTGATGGAAATACAATACCATGCAAAGAATCAGTAGGTCCAAACAACTCCAATAAGACAAGTTGGTTCTTGTCAAACACGTAGTCTTTGGGAAATAAGGAGCAATATGCAAACAATTGCTTCAAATGTGAAGGGAGGTCATAGTAGCTTAATCTCAGAGCTGGAAGAATCTCTCTTCCATCGTCCAAATTCCATATCTCACTTTTCAACACCTCCTCCCATTCATCATCCTCTGTTTTTGTCCTCAACATCCTTCCAAGCGTTATCAAAGCCAAGGGCAATCTGCCACATTTCTTCACAATGCCTTCACCATGCAATTTAAGTGTTGGATGCTTGTCAAAGTTTTGTTCGTCTATAGCATATTGAGCAAATAAAGACATAGCCTCTTCTTCAAACAAAACCTTGGGATCATAAGGTTGAAAAGAGTTCATGACCGACGCAACCTTGGTCTTCCGGGTCGTCACAATAACTTTACTTCCAGGTGCCCCTACCACAAAAGGGCTTTGGAGGAGTTCCCACTCTCTATAGTCTTCGTTCCAGACGTCGTCTAGAACAACTAGGAACCTTTTGTTGGAAAGTCTTTCTTTAAGAGCCACATGAAGCAGATCTAGATTAGCAAATTCTTGATTCGTCCTGGCTACAGCTTGAAAAATAGCCTTGCTGATATTAAATACATCAAACTCTTCAGAAACACAAACCCATGCCCGGAGCTCAAAGTGATCCTTAACCCTCTTTTCATTGTACACAAGYTTGGCAAGAGTGGTTTTGCCAATCCCACCGAGACCAACTACAAACACAATGCTAACATTTGGTTACATGCTGCGTTTCCCAACAACCTGTGAAGCAATGCCTCTTTATCCCCTTCCCTACCCATAACTTTGGACTCATCAACAAGTGAAGTTTCCTCCAACCTCCTATTTCTTCTGTTTGACCTTTTAACATTCACATCCAAGCCTAGAGTATGTTTCTGATCAAAAAGAGTTTGCAATTTGGTCGTAATCTCATCTAGCTTTGAACTCATCTTATGACCATAAATAATGGTATGAGGGGTGAAATTAGTACAACACCCGGGATTAGCTTCCGTAGCTTAGCTGTGTTGGTGCTGGAGCTGGCATGAGAATCTTTATTTAATTTGTGCCGGATTGCTTCTGTGGCCAAATCATCGAGTATATCGTCTATTTGGTAAACCAAATCCTGGAGATTACGCAGCCAGAAATCAACAGCTCTATCTGTTATGTGCTTGTTGGCTGCATCAACAAGTAGAGTTTGGATGTGGAGCAAAGTGTTGTTCCACTTCTCCAGCTGGGAATAGATTCCTTCAGATCGAGCCAGCTTCATCAAGTCACCTGAGGCTAACTTCTGAAACAATACATCAATAAATGCACCCAGAATGAGTTCAGCAATTGCAAATTATGGAAGGATTGTTTCTTTCAACATCTCTTTGTGCCTGGGGGTTTGAATTCAAAGTGAGGAAGAGATGAAGCAAAAGGGGTTGATTAAAAAATAAATCCTTAAACTTTGATTAAAATTTCCATGGACAAGTGCCGTTCGTTGTTTCACGAGAGTGGGTAAGATGGAGAAAGCCCAGGAATTGTTTGAAGAAATGACTACTAGATATATAATTGTATGGACTATGTTGATTCAAGGTTATCTACAAAATAATCATCGGCTATAGGCTGTGAGGGCGACGGCCATGGGCAGCAAAAGCCCAAAGGGCATCATCAGCCTGGGGCCCTCAATGCTCTCGATTACGCTCTTTGATTCTCGGTTGATCGTGTTGAGGATTTTTGAACTGGAAGATAGTTGTGAGATATATTACAGATTATATTCATGTTAATTGTTAAGCTATGTAAGATAGTTGTGAGATATATTACAGAATAGTAACCCATTGCTTTCCAGCCTTATCAGCTCTTATCCAAGACACTTTGTTGCAAATGTTGTTTATTAGCTCTTACTCATGTGAATGTGAAAATTAAGGATAAGGCAAAAGCTCAAGAGGAGCAATGGCAGAACACATTAGAGTACAGACAAATTTTGAAAACTTGTGGCTTGATTAAGGTGAGGTTGTTGCCTTAATTGATTTGTTTAATATACAAAGTAAGCATGTTTGTAGTGTTTCTTTATAGTTCCGGTTTCAGTAAGATAAAATCATTGTCTGGGAAAATCTGTCAGCAGCTATATACCCGTTACCATCATTCACCAAGCTCATCACATTGGCCTTTTATACGTATAATCTTATTCCAGCCTTTTGAGTTTCTTTTGAGTTTTGATCATCTGATAATAGCTTGATTAGCAAATAACACAATTAGGGGTCTCATCATGAACAACTTTTGAGTAATATGGTGTTGGTGGATGATTATAAACTTGCTGCTGTTGTTGATAATTGTAATATGGATATGGTTGCTGCTGCTGTTGATAATTGTAATATGGGTCTACTGATACAATATCTGTTTGACAAATCTTTCAGGGTTTGAACACAACTAGAACTGGATCTACATCCCCTGTTACAGTCGGTTTCTTGTCTTTCGTGTCCATGGCTATTGAATCCACACCTATTTTTCACCAAATCATTATAAAAGTTTAATCTTTATGGTGATTTTAGATCTGGGTTTGCTTCAGATTAAACGATTTTGATGAATCAAGAACGGAGGTCGTTAGATTTTTGCTGTACCTGGGAGACTGGAGACGTTTTTCATGGCCTTTTGTTTGACTTTCTCATTAAAGAAGTCCAATTTCAACACAACTTTCTGCAATAAGTTAAAAGAAATACAACAAAATTAGAAGAAACCCAAACATTTGAACACTTATGTTTCATCAATAATAATCAAGTCGAATGAAAACATGTCTTAGGAGCCGTGTACCAAACGCTTACCCGGGTAAGTGTTTACCAAGTCGTGTTACCTTACCGAAAGAGTATGACAAGGACCAACAATTTTACCCGGTAAGAGCAAGTCAAAGACCGAGAGTCTTACCCGGTAAATGAGGGCGACGACACTTACCACAGTTAGCGCTTACCGGGTATGTTGGTGAAATTTCATTGAAAATGGTATGTGATAAGTATGTTAATGATTTTAGTGTTATCAAATAAATTGGTGTAATTGTGATTTACTTGAGATTGATTAACACGATAAGGTAAACATATGTAAGTTTGGAGGTCTAGAGTGCACACTTACAGATGTTGCCCCTATCACCTTAGATCGCTTGGCAGGGTTGCAAAAGACTTAGAAATTTCACCAAGTCTTGTGTTTTTCAGCTTTCGTTAGCCGTCACTGAGGGTTAGTATTAGGCTGTCATTGAACAGCTTCAACTGTCGCTGAAAGGGGTCAGCTATCGCTTGCCACTACAATAAAATTAAGTTTTTAGAACGCCATCACTTTCAAAACGTCCTATTAGATTACTCTATAGGACTCATTTTATAAGACCAAACAATAAATGGTCCTATCTAAAGGCATTGTAAAGGATCCTATCTAAGATACCTAAACAAGCTCCAAATATCCCCTGGAGTATGTACATTTAAGTTTCATAAGCATTGGATGCATATAACGCAATTTAACCCTATGATTAGTTAACTTTCGTACTTAAATTTTCCTATTACAGCACTGTGTTTATGCCCTGTTTTACCCCACTTAACCTCAAAATTACTCAATGACTTCTGAAGATGAATTAAACTAGACTCAATTATCTTTCAAATGGAACTGACCTCATATCTACAGGAGTTCTCTTTGATTTTATACGAATTTTGCAACACAGCAGCTACAGGCTGTCAAAATTCAGTTTGACAGCACCGTACAAAGTGCACTTTTTACCCATCTTAAAGCTGTAATTAGATAAATGACGTCTTTATATAAAATAAACTAAACATTCACACCATTCAAATACCACTGGACTCACCTTTATACGATTTTTCTATGATTTTATACAAATTTTCTAAAACAGGGTAAAAAGTTGACTTTCAAGTCCCAAAATAACCATTTCATGCTCAATTCTATACCATATTGTACCAAATCCAAATGTTTATCATAAAATAGCATAATCTTCATAAAAACTTCAGAAATCTAAGCTCTTTCCATCAAAATCATCATTTTAACTACTTTGACTTTGAAAAGTCAAACATTCATACTTTCATCCAATCATTTCAACTAATTCTTGTAATTTTATCCATCCTTTTACTAAATAACAAAATATATATTCTAATCTACTCAAAATACTAAGATATCATCAATTTCACATCAAACTCTAACCCTAATCTCCATCGAATGATCCAATACATGAAATAGACAAATTTAAGAGTTTTATACCTTCAATTTCACCTCCTATATGTGTGAAATCGCACCTCAATAACCCCAGAAATTCGTAGAAGTGAACTGGGCCAAAATGGGGCTTTCCCCGAATTAAACTCGTTTTGGGTCGGGTTGGTTAGGTTGACCCATCACCCATTTTGACCGCCTAACATTACAAAATTCATTAACTTTTTGCTCGGACCTCCGTTTTCAATGAGATTTTCGCCTATGCGTTCGTAACAAGATGATCTATAATTGTCAATAAAAGTATTCCAGAAAATACCTCCCAATAAAAGCAGTTTTACATATTTGTAGGTGTTATGCTTTCTTTTGCAACTTTGTCATTTTTGATTTTAAGCTCAGAATCCCGTAAAAAAATTTCGACACCTCCAGCGACTCCTAATAGGTCCAAAACTTAGTTCCAAAGCTTAAAATCCCATCAAACTTCTCCTGTTTGAGTGTTGTGCGCGTAGTTTACCGAAATAGCAACGTAATTGTAAAACTTGCATAAAATGCAATCTACGTTACTTTTTCGACTTCCCCCACTTCTAACACTTCATATTAACTTATTCAAAGGTGTTCCAATCTTTACATAACCATGCAAATCATTCGTTTCAAGTTTTGGGTAGATTTTTCTCATTTAGGCACTCTAGTTACCTACTCAATTTCCATTTAGGCAATGCACTTGGTATTTTGAACACTCACATCATCTATTTATGTCATTTATGACGTTTTAGCACCAAAATTACCTCCTACATCTTGTTCTAACTGTGGGTTTTGCTTATAACTCACTACTACACTTGTCATTTTAGCAAATTCTCTTTTTACACAATTAACACATAAAGTATGTTTTAACATATAATACATATTTAGAACCACTAGTTAAGCATATTTAGAAGGGTGGATGTTATCGGTTTGTTTATAACGATAGATCACATATCCAATAATTACTAAAGAGACGATCAAAATATGGAATCTTCTGCAACAATGTGTTGTAAGTTCTAATCTTCTGCTTCAGCTGCCTTAGACACTACTCTAGGATCTGTTGAACACAAAGAGGCTGCTATTATAGAAACAAGAAGGTTGTTATTGTGTTTAGATTTAAGTCAATGCTCTGCAGTTACAACAGCAGACAATCAACACTCAGAAATTATACACACTTTAGCCCATATGAAACATTTCAACACACCAAACACAAAAGTTTCATCTTTTACTCAATTCCATCGTTTTAGTTTTAGGTATATAATTAACATCCAAAAGTCAATTATGGGGACAAAATACAACAAATAAAACCATATACAATGGTCCACCAAGGAAAAGAATCAAGATATATATAAATTGAGTGACAATCTACTAGTCCGTCCCATACCGGACTATTTAATATAGCAAATAATAACAAAAGCAGCCTAGTGAACTTGCTAACGAACTACGCCGACTATTTCCCTTTGCTGGTCCCCGCATGAGTGCCTCCTGAGATACACAATATGGGTTAGCTTAACAAAGCTAAGTGAGTTCAAGAAATACTAAGACAACATAACATTAAGCATTGTAATAACACATTTGAATTACAACAATTCACCAAGGTTATGATTGATCACCCATTTAGGACCAAAATAATATGTAAGCAATATCTTGTATTGTATTTGGACTAAGAATGGAAAACTGCAGATCTGAACTGGAATGTTCTCAAGACCTATCTTCACATCTCTGGACTAGAAGATCTCACTATGTCTCAGTCTTAAAGATTTTCCTATCTCTGATCTATACTACAAGACTAAGTATAAGTCTTAACTCTGAAGTATAAGTCTTCAGACTGTCTAACTCTGAACTATAAGTCTTAATTCAGAAGTACAAGGCTTCAGACTTCCTAACTTTGAACTGTAAGTCTTAACTCTGAAGTATAAGTCTTCAGACTTTATAACTCTGAACTGTAAGTCTTAACTCTAAAGTATAAGTCTTCAGACTTTCTAACTCTAAACTGTAAGTCTTAACTCTAAAGTATAAGTCTTCAGACTTTCTAACTCTGAACTGTAAGTCTTAACTCTGAAGTATAAGGCCCTGTTTGTTTTTCCCTAAAAAGCACTTAATACCCTCTTATGTCTGAATCGGTCAGACCTTAGGGTATTAAGTGTGTTTTTTTTTTCTTCAATTAAGAGCTTAAAAGCTCTGATTATGTCTGAATTATTTGGAGGTAACATTTTCACTTAAAACCTCTTAATTGCGTCGCCGTACCTGGTCTCTCTCAACCTCACCATCACTCCGTCTGTGATCCTTCTCTCAAGCTCTCGCTACCGTCTTCTACCTCTCGATCGCTCTCTCAAGCTCTCGCCTACCGTCTTCTACCTCTCGATTTCTCGATTTAAGGTATCTATCTTGATCTCTCAAGCTCTCTATCTCTCGATTTTCTTTCTCCTTGCTTGGTTTCTGTTTTGCCTGGTTCAAAAAAATGGTTTAGGGTTTACCTCCTATAAGGGGTTTTTTATGTGAAGTCTGTTAATAGCATTTGAAAGAAGAATCAGTAGTAATATTAATGGCTTCTATCTTGGTTAATGGATTTCTCATAGTTGATAGCATTTGAAAGAAAATGAACAAGCCATTGAGAAATCTGTAGAATTGAGCAGCAGTAAACTGACATTTTCCTGTTAAGCAGTAATGGACACCACCCATCTGCCCCATTGTCAAAAGGGTTCTTTGAGTGAGACCTGTTAAGGCATCAACCTGTCTCTGACATTTTCCCAAGTACATAAACTGACCTTACTTTATGGCCAATTTATGATCAGGAAGTGACGAGGTTACATAGTTCGGAATGGGTAGAATAGGACTGAGTTCATGTATCGGATGGTGAAGACTAATTGCACCTAGGGAGTTGTCTTTTGATTCACTTAGAAGGGATTATTGTACATGTTTTGTTAACGTATATTCTCTGTCTAGGCATAAGTATGGCCAGAAGGACATGTTTTCAATATATATAGAAACYTGCTAACTCAGGGGTATAAATATTAAACTGATTTATGGCATTTACTTCTTTTAATCCCTAATCAAGTTAATTATGGGAAGAAAGTAACAAGAGAATATGTATATTATATCTAGGATTGAAGGAAGTTATAGAGTAAAAAGCTGAGATACTCACCCCAAAATAATGCTGAATTGCTGGTGATCTCTGTAGTTTGTTTTTAGAGATTTGGAGGGACAATTAAGAGGCTGCAACCAATTTTACATCACTGGTTCATTAATACACATTGTTACGTCTCATATGCATAGTGGGGCTGAAGTAGAGTTGGTTAGAATAGAAGTATCACCTACTGTAAACCTCAAGGGAAGAACCCAGTAGCATATGGCTCCAGAGGTTCATAAAGATTCTTGTTCAGCTCCTTCTTTAAATCCATTGATTTTGGTTTCAGCTGTATTGATTCAGAACAAGTCCGAGCCCTAAACACAAATTCCTTCGTCTTGCAAAAAACCCAACAAACTTTCTTGGTTTGATCTTGAAATAATCGAATCACGAAGGAATATAACAGCAGCCGTGGGTTGCTGGTTTGAAGAAGGAGCAGCAGGTTGCTGTTTGGTCGTAGTTGACGGAGAAAGAAGCTGCTGTTTATGCTGTTTGGTCGCGCGCAGAGGGACTGTTTGGCTCACGAAGAAGCAGTCGGTAGCTGCTGGTTGAAGACAGAAACAGCGGCTGTTGTTGGGTCGTTGGTGGACGGAAAAGAAGCAGCAAACAGCTGCTGTTTGGTCGCACATCGGACGGGAACGGTTGCTGTTTGGCAGCTGCCGTTTGGTGGCGCATCAGACGGAAACGAGCTGCTGTTTGGTCG